TTTTGAGATAATGAAACCACTAAATACAAGCACAAATATATCGACCAACTAGCCGCAGTCGTAGAGCACCATAGTTTGGAAACTGATCCAAGATCGGAACATGGATAACGATGCCAAGTGCACAACAAAAAATAACATTAGCTGGCGGAAAAACCTACAAAATGTGAGAAAGATCCAAGTTAATCCAATATATTGCATTCTAAGCAATAAGTTACTAATCAAACATAGTGTGGATTATAGTTACTTGTTCAATCAATGATAAACTAGGACAATAAGGAAAAACTTCTAAAGTGATGCTCACCTCCCCACCTCAGGACTGTACCCAATAACATAATAAGTTAGAGAAGTCCAAACTAGAGCTTCCAGCAAAGAAATAGGAACCTTAAGAATGGCAGCTGGAATTGCATATGCCCATGCTGGGTAAAAGGACAACTCTCTCTGTTTGTAGAAAATTGCAAGTCTTGAAACAGTCATGGCCAACTCCGGAAATCCATCAACTAAAAGAATGATGAGGGCATAAAACTGAGCTCCTAGATAATAATTTCCATGACAACATCAACCTCCATTCTAGTTCGTAAGAATACAGTCATCGTGATAAATGCAATTATCACAAGCTGCAAAAAAGAAAACAACATTCTCGATAGTTCACAGGCTCAAGCCCATAGGACTCAAAATTTAATATTGGTAGGAATGCATCAAATGAAAAAAAAGTACATGGAAAAAGAAGTTGCATTTGAGACATAAATAAGTACTAATTATAACCTGAGATGTTTTGAATATATATATAAAAGAATTCCTCCTCATGAGAAGCAACTCTCTTGACATGCAACCGCAAAAGAGTGTCCATTTAGAAAGAGAATAAACGCTAAAAGAAATAGCATTTTTATCGCTCTGGGACTTCATGAATGGCTCAGAGAGCTCCTCGTCTAGCTTCTTCCCCATAGCAGACTCCTTAAATTTCATAGATAACATATCAACAGAAACATATCTATAGCCTTGTTCAGTTTGGTGCCAGTACTGTGCTTGATCTTTTCTAGACATAACCTGTGTAATTAAGAGGTTAAATAATACCTCCTTGAATAAATAAGAGCATAAAGAGGAAATATCCTGATGAACTTACCTCCTGAAGGAAGTCAGCCACCCCTTTCCTGTCGGGACACCTAAACCCACAACTCTCAAAAAAATCCAAGACATTATTTCTGGGTCCATGATACACAATCTTACCTTCTGCCATCAAGATAATATCATCAAAGAGATCAAAGGTTTCTGGTGCTGGCTGAAGAAGTGACATAAGTATAGTAGCATCTGTGATATGTGCCAGTTGTTGAAGGCATGCAACAATCTGATATGTGGTTGAGCTATCTAAACCATTTGATATTTCATCCATAAACATAGCTTTTGTGGGACCAATAATCATCTCCCCTGAATATTACCCATATAAGTTGACTAATCAATACTATACTCAGAAGCAATATTCAGCTCAAGTCGTTAAAGCCTAAAGGTCAGCAAGTGGTATTGGAGATGACAATGTTGATACCACCTCTGCTAAATATATTGTACAACGGGAGAGTTGCAATGCCTGCAAATCTGTGCAACTTAGAGCTCAAATTACCTATAGTCAGTCGTTTCTTTTGACCGCCAGAGATACCCCTTCTCATAGCATCCCCAACTAGTGTATCAGCACAGACATCAAGTCCAAGAATCTGAGAGAACAATGCAATGATTGGCAAATCATTGTACTTTATGCATTGCCAAATTATACAAAGAAACAGCTCGAAGTTCGCCATATTGAAAGAGAATTACTTTTAAAATGTAGTCTGTCTGAATGGTTGTCTTTTGTCCTTCAGCAGAAATTGCCTGTTAATGTAAAGAGCTCAGTCAATACATTACGGATAAGCTCATCAACATCATATCTAACATTAGAAACATTATAAATGACATTAACTTATTGCATAGTAATTTCCATTAATCGCATAAAGATGCAAAGTTCTTTTTAGTAGAAGAAATTCTAGATTTTCCAAGACCTTATTACAACTCATGATATCAAATTACATGTATGAGCCTAATTTAACAAAGATCTCCTAATAAAGCCCATCATCATGGTGGCATCTGCATATGGATGAATTTAGGCTCACCATCTCTAAAAATACAAAGAAACTAATTTAGGCAACAAAGTTGAGTGAATAGCAACGCTAAGACTAAGGGTATATCGACTCTATCCAAGATGACAAAGTTTCTCCACTTGAGCACAGCAGGTGCATGGATCAAATCCTCTCCCTAGTTCCCCTTCACCCTACCCTGTAATCAGAAAAAAATAGTTTATGGAGAAAAACTTTAGCAAAAAAAAAAAAATAACAGTGGTCATGTTGGCCTATATATTTAATAAATTCATGTTTTTGGGATCAAATTAACTCTGAATTGGCAATTACAATTGTGCTTAATTGCATATGAAGGGTTTGGGAGAACCCAGTCTATCAAAAATGATGATGGGCTTGACGGCTCAGCAAGCTGTTTGAGGTTGAGAGTTTCTGGCAAAGCTGTCGCCATATACCATCTCTGTGGGTAGCTCTTCAAAAACTAAACCCTCCTTTAACTTGTCTGTGTAGTGTTTTCTTGGGTTGCATGGTCTGAGTTATATAGCTAGAAGAAAGGAAAAGGTGACATAAAGACGAAAAACTCCTTATTAACGAAATATGTATGTTCTATTGCAAGTGAATCAGCCCACAAGTAGTCATCAAACCTCTTCTTCAATACACTTACTATTGGAATATTTTGATTAAAACAATGAAAATTCTTATAGCTAACTGCATAAATTAATATGCCAACAAATAACAAATACCGGCCAATGAAACAACACGTCAAACATGTTGTCTTTATATATAGCCACCCTGCAATATACTAATATCACCTTGCCACATTTATAAAAATAAACCTATTTTCAATCATGATTTTCTAACAAAACCAATAAAAACTATTCCGAAGTACCAGTATTTGGACTTTAGACTATGGAGGTTCAATGTATCATGAGCATACTGACAACATCATAAACATCAAAAATGCAAAATATTGGACGTGCTAAAGATACCTTCATGTAAGTATCCAAGTCTGGATCTGGAACAATTCTTGCTTCCTTTTCCCTCCTGCTGACCTCGGTCATAATATCTTCCAGGCATAAAATTTTTTTCTTAATTACGAATGCTAGCATTTGTCAACAGTCAAAATGAACATTGTTGGGTACTCAAAGTAAGCATACCTGCTCTGCTCCGAACACCCTGACAGTGTGCCGAAAAATCAAGTGTTTCCCGCACAGTCATCTCAGGAATGTGCAGGTCATTCTGGCTTATATAAGCAGAAGTTTTCTGAGGCACAAACTCTTCCAGTTTGTATCCATTGTAAGAAATGTCTCCTGTAACCTGCAGGATGATAGATTGGCAGATCAAAACTATGGTAAAGAGTGATTGTTTTGTATTTTGAACATTTTGAAAGGTAGAGAAGTAAGTAATTCACTAATGTGACATTATATCTTTTGGAAAGCAAATCATTATCCACTTTCATGTGCATGACAAAAAAAGGAAATCCCACTTTTCAAGAACTCAGGTTAAAAAGTTCTCTCAATGATAATAATTCTAATTGAGAATGAACCGCTGGTAAAGAATTTCTATTGCTTGGAGTACATTAGGCAAAATGACTAGCAGAGTCCATCTTTTATAAGAAACATGCACAACTAGAAGAGAGTGAGGAGCTTTGCGGTTGTACAAGATAGAGGGATAGTGAGATTCTATAAGGTATAAGCAAGATTCCTTGATCCTTTTCACTGTTGAGAACCATGTAAATTTACAAATCTATTGTATTATAGAAACCTTAAATTAGTCATCAGTGTTGATCTTAGATTTTCCAAGGTCTTATGATTAGGAAGATGAAGCATATAGAAAACAGCAAATCGATGAAGCATATAGAAAACAGGAAACCTCGAGAGATTTGCTTAGGTTTCCTGAAAGTGCTTTCAGTAAGGTGGTCTTTCCGCATCCTGGAGGACCAAGCAGTAAGGTCATTCTGCAATAAAGATAAATCTGCTTAGGTAAGCGGCATGACAAGGTTGTAACAAAGATATATTCGTTGTGAGCCAGGGAAAAAAGTTTGTATTATATAATGCACAGTTGTAGCCCAAATAATATGAATTATGCTTTGTTTAGTTGAATTGAGTAAACTTAAATCAAGAAATAAATGTATTTTCCTACCTTCCAGGCTTAATGATTCCACTTGCATCATTAAGGATGCTTATTTTGGTCTCTTGTGACTTTAAACTAAGAAGCTTGGCACAGTCCTGTAGAACAAAATGTTGCATATCAATTTGGAAAATTATGATAACAACAGAGGAGCAACACAATAAGAAAGGATCCGATTGAAAAGCATACAACAGGATGCTTTAGGACTTCACACATCATAATCGATTCACTCATCGGTTTCTGCAATGAAACACTAGTGAAACAAGATGGAAATCATTTTTTTTTCTTTGCATTTTCCTTCCCGATTCATTTTTACTTGTCTGTGCGTGGTTATGTGGAGGGAGGTTGATTATACACCAAAATGGATGAATTTTTCATCCTATAAGAACAAAGTCTACCCAATATTTTCTATATGCTTCATCCACTCATACATGTTCAAAATACAGACTCCATATAGGGGCAAAGCTGTAAATCTATCTTTAATGTTGGGGATGGGGTGGAGGGGCATGATTAAAAAAATCCACAATAAATATAAGAAATGTCAAAGTTTAAGCATGAGAAATATCTTAAGATTCAAGACCAAATTACTTTTTTGGAGAATTAAAACAGTATCAATAATATATCTAACCAAATACAATGTTCTTGCACATCCAAAAAAATTTTCAATAATTGATTCTAACCTAAATTTCTCAACAATTCTCTTTCAATGTATACAATGGAGAGTATGCGATAAAGTTATCATTCATTTTGTTGTGAAACCTAACAAACATCATCCTCCAGATATATTGATTCTTTTCTTCAAAAGGTAAGAAATTGAAGTTTTTTGAAGCATAAAATGCTCTTTTGAGTTACGATATTTTATTGTTTGTATCTATTCGTGTTTTATTGCTTACATGCATAAAATAGAGGTGTTATCTTTGCTCAGCATATATAAGGGGCATGGCCTTTTACATTATTTCACACAATTCAAAAATATCCTGTGTTTAATGGGTTAGGGGGCCACTAGTGCACCACTAACTTAAGGCTAGAGTCAATATATGAATTTCAAAAAATCAAAGGGGACACTATATAAAATGGAATGGACTCATGCTCTGTTAATGCTATATCTATACTATTAATAAAGGGTTGTGGGTTTGGTTCTTCTCTCTATGTTGGTAGTTATTAGCTAGTTTATTATATTTTATTATTAATATCCTATGTTTTTTTCTTTTCCATTTTTTTATGAATAAATGCAAAATTTTAAAATATTTTATCCAACATTATATTGAAGTCATAAGAGCCCAAGAAGACCAACAAGTCACAGTCCAAACATCACCTCCAAAAAGTTATATTAACGAACAGGTATCGTGCGTGGACTATCCATAGAATTTAAAAACGGTGTGCTCAGATTTGCTTGGAATAGAAATCCATACAAATAGAATTTGACTGATCTAACTAAACTGCCAACACATTGGAAGTAGAAATATATCTCTCATAAATGATTAAACCATAAAAAAAAATATTAAATTAAAAAATAATTATAAAAAGAACTGTAATCAGATAGAAATTCAGTTGGAATATAGACTGTGGTTTAAGCATTGAAATTAGTTGAAGGAAATGGAGAGAGACTTACAAAGAGCATACTTTTGAGAGAATTCCATAGCGTTGGGAGGGGCTTGCCATAAACTACTTCGCACTCTGCTTCTACACGCACATTTTGATATCTTACCTCCACAGTGGGCAATTTTACACCAACTCTACAAAAAATTAGGAGAAAATTTAACCTATCTCTTGCTTGACAAAGTTAAAATTTATAGTAAAGGAAGACTGAACACATATTACCAAACGAACAACGCATTTGAATGTCAATAGTTTGTATAATTGATAGTTAACGAACAACACATTTGCTTCAAACTACTCTGAAATCGGCCCTGTTCAAACTACACATTTTCTCAATTTTGAGTTAATATTTGCAAAACACAACATCGGAAAAACTCAAATTTAAAATAAAACGAACCTAAATTTAAATTAGATCAAACTCAAATTTAAAGTAAGTTGAAATATTATCATTACATCTTTTGGAGCTATTGAAAATTTGAATAAATCTTGTTTTTAGTTATTTTTTTGCTCAAATGTAAATTAAAGATTGAATTTGAATAAGAGTTGGAGATGTTCTAAAATATATACATTAAGCTCTGAAATCAATTTTATGTTAATTTCATCTCCCAATTAGGCAATCTAACTCAATATCACGGCTTTTTCGTTCAAGTTCATTGTCAATAGTCTCACACATTAATGACGTGTATGGTCTTGAGAATATTAGTCCCCGACTCTCATGATATTGATGTGCATGTGAGATTTTTCGTGACTCTCAAGATATTGATGCGCATGTGATATTTTTTGTTAAAATTAACAAAAAAATGTGGACCAAAGACCACGACTCAAATTACATAGTTGAAGAGCTAAATCAATAAAAAAAATTAGTTCAGAGACTTAATTGACATAACTAAGAACTAACATAACTTAAATGTCATATGTGTAGTTAACTAATTTTTATTTTTTAATAATTTTTCTTCTAATTAGATTTTTCTACATTCCAATATAACTATTTTCTCAACTCCCAACTATTTTTTTTCGTTTCTTAGGGTCATTTGATAACATTTTTATTTTTGTGTCTTAAAAAAAATTTAAAACATAAATAATTTTTGTCTTTGTTTTGTGATAAACATAAAAGTAGAAAATATGTTTGTGAGTCACTTTTGTCTATCAAATTATGAAAATAAAAACAAAAAATATATTTGATAACTATTTCAAATTCCCCTTTTGGTGATGGGAATCAATGATTAGCTCATTGATTTTCTTCACAGTGGCAACCTAATCTTCTTCCTCACAGTGGAGGTCATGGCCACAGGGACCATTGCAATCCTATCGGCATGCTTCTCATTCAAAGATGGTTTGAAGACAATCACTTCATCCTCTTCTTCACCTTTCTATGCACAAATCTGTGTATATATGCACAGAGTTGTGCATATATACACACGATCTGTACATATATATGCACAGCTTTTGGGTTTCATAGAGAAGAGGGAGAAAGCAAAGAGAGAGAGGCAACGATAGAAGGAGAGAGACAACAATAGAAGGAGAGAGGCAGCGATGGGGATTTCTTCTAGTCGTCTGATACAAAGAGAGGAGAGAGGACAGAGAAACAATAGGAGGAGATAGGGATGAAATGAGTTTTATACTTTAATAAAAAAAGCCTTGTTTTGTTGTAAAGAGGAGCCGAAGTTCGAATCTCACTAATTCCTAAGCCTTTTGTGTGTGGTGTCTTTGTTTTGGGTGTTTCTTGGAACATTTTTTTTTGTTTTCATTTTTTTGTCTTTGTTTTCAAACTATTAATATAAAACAAAAACAAAAAAAAATAGTAGCCAAACATATTTTTGTTTTCATTTTTGACAAAAATTAAAAACAAAAACACAAAATACAAGACAAAGTTACCAAACAACCCCCTAATTTTTCATCTTCCTATTCGCCCTTTCTCCAAAACTTCAACATAAAATATTAAGTAGCAAAGCTTACTAGAGACATAAGAATGCGGTGACATATAAATTCTACACAAGTCGACTGCTAGCAACTTTGTGGATTGTGACTAACTCATTGACTACGACAGTGTTTAATAAACTTGAAAGCTGAAATCTGAAAATTGAAAGTTGTAGTCTGAAAGTTAAATACTAAATTTGTGGACTATTTGATATCCATTGAAATTTAAGTACTGAATTAAACCAAACTGTTTGATAACTACATAGAACTGACGTCTGAAAATAAATATTTATAAAATATGTTTTTATCTAATAAAAAATAAAAGTATATCAAATCAATAATAAATTGAATATCACAATAACTGAATAATAACATCTGATCAAAAAAAAAAAAAGAATAACGACAAATAAATAATCGAATCATAATAAGTGAACAATAATAAATTAAATTACACAATAAGTGAATAATAACATCTTATCAAAAAAAAATACCTAATAAATAATCGAATAACAATAAATAAAAATTGAATAAATAATCAAATTAAAAAATAGAATAAAGTGTGTGTGCAATTTTGTGCTTGTGTGTGAGTAGTTTGGGTGGGTCGGTGGGTGGGTGTGTATATGGTACATGTCTATGTGTGAGTGTGTGGGTTTGGGGCTATGTAGTTCAACATGTTTATTTGCAACAAACGAGAGAAGAAAAAAAAAAAAAAAAGAAGAAGAACACCTATTATCTGAATAAGACAATTGACAAGGAGGATAGATAGGTTAGGAGTTTTGGAAATAACACTAATTAGAGTTTTAATAGGATTGTAAAATATTTCATAGTATAATTGTCATAGTATAAATATTATTAAAGATGATTTTATTGAGCATTTTTAGTTTTTATAATTAAATAAGGAATCTCCTACTTAATATTTTAAAGGAGCACTTAACATATTAAGATAGTTAAAATTTTAGTTATCCAATGAGCTTAATTAATAAATATCAAATATATTCATTTTAAGTGTTGAATTTGGGTTAACAAACACACACTACGTATGAAAATTAAAGAGAGAATTATACTCAAGCCTCCTGAGATTTGTCACTTAATTATTTAAATCCATTGATATTTGAAATATTATACACAAACTCTCTAAAATTTGTACGTTCGTAACACTCAAACCCTTATTGTCAATATCCGTTAGTAAATTACATCCAGACTCCCTAAAGTTTGTAAGTGTGTTATACTTAGACCCCTCAAATTTAAAATGTTATAATTAGATAAACAATACTCCAATCAAAGATAAAATATCAAATATTTTAAATTTTACAATTAAAATTTATATTATATCATGAAATTTATTGAAATAAAATCAAAAATAAAAACATAATTTTTTAAAAAACTTTGTAATTAATATAAAATTATACTATTTATTAGAATTTAATTTGGTTATTTAAACGATCAAATTAAACAACCAAATTACCTCAATTAAACCTGAAAAAATATTGTGTGTATTACAATTTGACCCTTAATTTGATTTTTTTAATTTTATTCTAATAGATAATATAATTGTATACTAATTATAATTTTTAAGAAAATAATTAATTTTTTATTTTTTATTTTATTTCAATAACTGTTATAATAGAACATGAATTTTTATTATAAAATTGAAAATATTTAATTTTTTTTTTTTTGATTAGAATATTTTTTTTGTCTAAGTATAACATTTTAAACTTGAGGTATCTGAATATAATTTATTAACGGATATAGTAATGGACATTGACAACAGATATTTAAAGTTACGCGAGTACAAACCTTAGAGAATTCGTATGTAATATTTTAAATGTTAGGGAATCTAATTGATTAAATAACAAACTTTAAAAGATTTGAATGTAATTCTTCAAAAATTAAACCATTAAATATAAGGATTAATCCTTGGGCCAATCGATTGCTTTAGTGACCTTAAAACCAGTGTTTTAAAATCCAACTCGAACCGACGGGTTAACTCGATGAATCAGTGCCTAAACGGGGCCGGTTCAGCTATTGGACCGTTTATGCATAAGAACCGGAGTAAATCCGGTGAACCGGCAAGAACCTAGGTAAAACCATCAAATCGGGCGGTTCAATAAAACTGGGCGGGTGATTTAATTTAGTATAAAATGTTGATTTTTTGCCCATTTGGGCATTTTGCCTTAAATTGTTTGCCTCTCCGGTGACTCCAGCCTTCTTTGCAATGGTGGAGTGGTGGACTACATTCTTCTCAGTGTGAGTCTCTCTCTCTCTCTCAGACTCTCAGTCCCTCTTTGCTCTGGTCTGGTTTCTACAGTAGTGTGCAGTGGGAGCACGAAAGGGAGTAAGCCTTGATTGAAGACTCAAAGAGGAAGGAATAGGTACATCCTGTCATACTCACACATTCTCTCTTTGTCTACTCTCTTTCTCTCTCGGTTCGATTTGTATTTTGGTCTTTCGTTGTGCATTTCCTCGCCTCACGAACGGTTAGGTCTTAGATTGAAGGTTATTCCGACGACTTTCTCTCTTTTTGCGCGTTGTGAAAATAGAACTGGTGAAGACTTGAAGGGTGGACATGAGCTCGATCGAACCTCCATCGGCATTAACGATCGGCTTTAGTACTCATTCTCTACACATTTTTTTCCCTAAAGTGAGACCCCAGGCTCTAGCATGTACATCCCTTTTCCCCCCTTCTCTGCATACTACAATTGGTATATTATACACACTAATATTGTATTGTATGGTTATGGGCTGATTGATTATGGTTTTGTTGATACGCTAAAATTAAGATTGTTTGTATTTTGGTTTGATTTGGTGAAAATTTTAGTTAAATTTGATTTAATATAGATTTTACTATGGTGATTAGATTCAATTTGATGATTTTGGGATTTTTGTTTGATTTATTATATATTAGGGAAACTATTTTGAGTATTTTCATTGATTTTTTAACTTATTTATTATTATTATTATTTATTATATTACCGGTCCGACCAGTAACCCAATGGTTGAACCAGTAATCCGTTGACTTGATCCCTTTCCCAGGTTGGTGTCCAGGCCGGGTTTTAAAACACTGCTTAAAACAGGTCATAATCAAGTTTCTTTAGTGTAAAATAAATATTTAGTTTTATAGACTTATAAAATCATACAAACCTGATAATAAAGATTAAAATAAAGAAATAAAAATATCATTTTTATTTATCAAATTAACATCAGATTGATGTATTCAAAGAAATCATAATTTGGTGACTCTAATCGCATGTTCCAATTTTTTCAAACTCAAAATATCACGAATTTATATATACAAATTGAAATAAATAATATTTTCTTTAAAAAAAATTCACATGCATGTGAAGCAATAGGCTAAACCACAATATAACCCAATAACTTTTTTTCTTGTGCCAAGTTAAAAAGACATATTGGATCACAAGTAAGGCACACAACTTCTCGTGAATTAAAGATCCTGTTAAAACTCGAGTTTTTACCCCCAACCCATAGAGTTATATAAAAATATATTTAAAAAAGAGTTGTTTTTAAAATATTTTCTAAACTCGAACACTTTTAAAAACTTTATTTAAAATGATGTTTTTAGACCAAAAAATGTAATAACGTTTTTAGGAGCTGACACATCTTAAAATGAGGCCTGACAACTGACAGTTCAACTCACACTCTTTAATTCTTACTACAAATTATGAGAAGAAGACTAAGACCAATTTTGGTTTAGTTTTCGGAAACTGTTTTTTGTTCACAAAATTTTAAAAACACTTAAAACCTGTTTGTTTAATATTTTTGTTATCTAAATTTTGGAAAAAAAAAAATGAGATTTGAGTCAAAGAAACAGAAAACAAGTGTAGCATGTTTTTAGAGTTTTATTTGAAAATTTTGGAAACAAGGAGAATAATTTTGAATGTTCAAATATGTGTATATATATACCAATATATTTATATAATAAAACAGGAGTGTGTTTGAATTTTATCCCAGTCATATTTTTCCTCTCAAAATCATCACCAATCACTGACCTCACTCATCATCTATTTGTCAGACTCAAATATCAAATCATATTATTCATTTATTTCATATATTTAATCATTTATATATTTCCTCCCCAAAAATTTTACACAACTCATTTCTATTATATATTTAATCATTTAATATTTAATAAATTTGTAGTTAATATATTTTTAAAAAATTTAATATAGTGTGTTCGATTTTTTGGACGCTCAAATTTTATATTTTATTGTGCCTTCAGGCACGAGTTATGACTATTATATTCATATAATATATATATATATATATATATATATATGAAGTTGTCTATATAAAAATAAATTTTTTATTAATGTTTGAATTACTGTTCAAATATATATTTAGACTGTCCAAACAGGTTTTACCATTTTCTGTATTGTAAAATTGTTTTTGAAATCATCTAACCAAACAAGTTTTTTATCTCAAAAAATATCAAAACTACTTTTTTAAAACTTTTCTCAAAAACTATTTTCGAATACTATTTTTTGAAACACAAACCAAACATGCTCTATGTTTTCACATGTTACAACATGATGCTCGTTCTGTCGGGAAAAATGTTTAGGATAAATTACACTGACACCCCTCTTTGTTTCTAATATTTTCACTTCACCCTTCTTGTTTGTAAAATATCAATAACAACCCTTGTGATAGGACCATTTGTGACAAATTTCTCCATCAGTTTATAGACGTTTAAGGAACAATTAGCTTTTACAGATATGGACAAATTTAAACAATGTACTTTCCGTTTTGCCCTTGAAATAACCTATTTTTGTCTCATGATATCCACGAAAGTTTTTTTCGGAAGGCAAATTATTTAAGTCTCTCTTTTCTATACTAAAGCTGTTTGTGGCAATGCCTCCCTACTAGCTCAATTGCCACCGATAATGATGAGATCCTGAATATGGGTCGTCATCTAAGAGCCCAATAAAATCCAGGGTACCTTTGCCAACATAACGGCTCGAACAGGAGCACCCACAGATGATCTATGACGAGAATGGAGTGGGCTAAACCCAAAGAGTAAAGCCCAACAATACCAGAAGACCTGAGGTCCAATCTAGTCCTAATTCAACCCAGCCAAAGGACGACCCGGGATAAAGAAGCCTAGCCCAGTGTCTATCCCGGATCACTCTCCATCGCACCACGTGTCTTGGGAACATAGAGACTACTTTCTGACATCTATGACAATCACGTATTCTCTGGAGCAGAGGGCATTGATACGCATAACCATCCAGGGATCGTGGGAACAGTGGTGCCGGATGACAGAGGTTGCTATAGGACATAGACAGGAGGACCCATAGAATCATCAAGAAAAAAGAAGGAGCAGGAGGAAACCCTAAAAGGATCACTGTATAAATAAGACACTGTTACCTAGCAAGGGGATTTTGACCCTCATTGCACACTTAAAGCCCAAAATATAGCAGATAGAAAAGAGAACATATACCGTGTAAGGACCTAATCCTTGCAAGGCTATTGTATTCATCAAAGGTTGAATAATAGACGGTCTCAAAGAGTAAGAGACTCTATTACAGTGGATGTAGTCTTAATCCTTCTGCTAAGATGAACCACTTACATTTTGTGCTCTTTTATTCTATCAAGAGTAACCTCTTGATCAGCTAAATCCACTAAAATTCTCAAACGTTATTGGCTAGGCTTGGGTATTTATTTCCGACCATCATCAGCCGCTATGAAAGATGTTGCCACCATTGCTGCTCATCACCTTCACCCCTACCGATTCATAACTCAAAACATAACAATGATTTAGATCATTTAAATTTGATAACTTACAACTTAAATTTTAATTTTTAAACCATAGTAACTTAGTCTATTTACATTTAATCTTTTAATCACAATAAAAAATGTACATTACATGGGGGCACTGTAATATCTATATAATAAAACAGCTCATACTTTAAATTTTATCTCAGTCATATTTTTCCTCTCAAAACCATCATCAATCATTTATCTCACCCATCATCTCTCTATCAGACTCAAACGTCAAGTCACATCACTCATTTCTATCACATGTTTAATCATTTATATATTTTTATCCTTAAAAATATCACATCACTCATTGCTATCATATGTTTAATTATTTAATAATTGATTAATTTGTAGTTAATATAATTTTTATTTCAAATACTATTCATATACAATAGTATACATATGTTGGAAAAATTTAATATAATGAAATCGATTTTTTGGGTGCTCAAATTTTATATTTTATAGTGTCTTCAGGTACGAGTTATGACTAGTATATATATATAGAGAGAGAGAAGGGAGGAGGGAGGGATATGGGGATGACAAGTCTATGATGTAAAGAGATTGTGGTGGAGGTCTATCTGACTCAGAAGAGATAAAAGAGGAGATTTATAGAAGAAATGAACTTGTTTGGTACTAGATCTAAGGTTGTTCGATAGTTGGATTGTGGTTTTTGGAAATAGGGTTAGAAACATAACAAATAGGTGAGCGTAAAATTGATAATATCAACTTCTGTCAACCAATGTGCTCCGACAATATTGATAAGGGTGTCATTGCAACTTTGAAAACAACAGGGGGTGCTGTGAAAATGTCAAAAACAACAAGGGGTGTCATTATAATTTACCCAAAATGTTTATTGCTTTGCAGTTTGCGGAATTGTCTTTGCCCAGTTCTTGTTGCAATCCAACCAAATGATTACAGTTGCATGTGAGGGTGTGTAGGCTTAGCTTCTGTGAGTGTACATACATGAGACCCGAGCTTCTTGTCCATGTATGTGACCACCCTTTTTGATGTTAATTGATTTGACGTTTTTATCTAAAAACGTTACTCTAACTAATTTCTTTTGGTTTAAAAATGTTATTTTAAATGATATTTTTAAAAATATTTGAATTTATGAAATATTTTAAAAACAATCCTCTTTTGAGTATATTTTTGTACATCTCATGGGTTGAGCCAAAAGCTCTTCAAAAACTCAATGGTAGAGCAACGTTGTAAGGCATAAGTCATTGGTTCACATCCGATAAAGAGCAGGCGCAAAGCAGACAGACGGATTTTTTAAAACAATTATGTTGACTTGGCTATTCTTCCCCTCATTAAACTTTTCTCACTTTCACAACTACTAGGCCAATTCATGGACAGATCCCTCAGGGTAAATCGATGTCTTCTATATTATTTTATTTTTTGGGTATTTATATAGTTGTAAAAAATTAAAATTTTATTTTGGTACATTATTTTGATCATCTAAGAAATAAATATGTTTCAAAAATATTTCAAAAGCATAATATAAATAAAAAAAATATATTTTCGATACATTTAAAATTGGAAGATGTGAAACTGAAAAATGAAAAAATTTAATATTCAATTATTGACTCGTTTGTTTGAGAATTTTGAAAAGAAAATTTGATCCTATGCATATAGAGGTATGGGTTGCTGTCAATCAATAGTAAAAAAGAATGCTTACTTGTCTAATCTTTTTCTGAATTTCTGCAATAAACGAAGGTTGTCATTCTCAATGTGTTTGATGAGTTTGTCGATGAACATATGACGTTCCACAGGATCAAGCTTGGTGACATCAACCACCCTTTTTCCTCCTTCATTTTCATCAAACAAAGACGATCTCAACCGCTCCAAAGTCGGCAATCTCTCCACGGCAGCCCACTGTGAGAGATGTTCATCGTCAACCTCATGATCATTCTGTGTAGAACTCAAACCCGAAATGCTTCGGGAACTTGAGGTGTGGCGTCGAAATGATGATCTGATACTTCTTCGTATCTCCGAGAGCTCCATTATCGGTGACTCTATATCGTCTGCACCAACCAACTGAGCCATTTTGGAGAGCCTCAACCAAAGCTTGCATTAATGGTGGGCGGGATGACAGAAGAAAGAGAGAACGTCTACATGAACACACAGTCTGATCTGGTGGGGATTTATAAAATAGAAGGAAACGATGATTAGGTCAAGTTATGCATATCGTTGTTAGACTGGCATTATACTTTAATTGGTCAAAGGACCATACTAAAATTTATACTTTTGTACCTAAACCACGTTTTTTCCTTTCGACTGCATGTGAATTAAGGCTTAATATGACGGGAAAAAAAATAAACAAATGTTGTTGTCATCAGCAGAGGAAGTTCGAGGTTGGCACGTTCGAGGCATAAATCTCATGCTGAGATCTTTCTTTATTTTAAGAGTTTATTCTTGTAGTTGTTCCATTATTCAAAATGTAACTTTATAATAACGGTTAAATGCACTTTATACCACAAAAGATGCTCAAATTCTCATTTTACACTTTAAAAGTTTTAGTTCTTAAATGCACTCTCACCATCATGAAAAAGTTTAAAATGTGGGTTACACCCAAAATTATCGTTCATTTTTCTATTATAATAAGTGACATGAGCATGGCAATAAATTTTAGCGTACTCACACTGAAGAATTAAAATATTTCAAGGTGTAGATAACATTTGAGTATGTTTGAATGCACAAAATGAAATTAACCCTTATAATAATCATACTATCATAGGGTTTTATCTAATAAAAATGTCATGTGCTAACTTATTTCTTTTTTTTTTTTTTTGGAGTCAATGATCTGGTTGTTCAAACCTTCCTTTTCATGCTGATGGTGGTACCTTTAAATTTCTTCCCGCGTTTTTCGGCCCAAAAGTTTAACAATCATTTTTTGAGTCGATAAAAAAAATGAAAGCTTCGAGAGTCTTACTTTTTCAAGTTAACTCCTAATTATTAATAATCATAACTCAATTCCACACTCTCTAGTGAATGTGATGCAGTAAACAACTAGGCATTTTAGGTTTCATTCTATAACGTGTTTTAAAATTTTGTGGGTATATTTTAGAGTGGACGATATTTGTTGTGTCTTATTTAATGAGACTCATATGTGGATCTTAATTAACAAGGTGCATACTTGAGTTTTAGGATAAAGATATCCTAATTAAAAGACCTAACACACGTTGGTTAGGTTGGTGAAAAGTTCCTTGTTAAAGTGGTGTTTTAGGTACAAGAAAATATGTTTAACAAATTATCAATTTCTTGACAGTTACCTTGATGGGAGAGAACGGTTACTAATTATTTTAACGTGAAGTAGTTGGTTACCAATGGGGGATATAAATTGTCTGAGAGACTCCATCTCTTATTTACACTTACAACATCTCTCATTCTCTGAAAAAACTATCTACAACCTTTGGAGAATTAAGTTGGTGATATATTCGGTGTTCTTGGTTTGTGATATATTTGGTATTCTTGCTATTCTACTAGTGGGGATTTTCGCTGCATATCTCTATTAAGAATCATTATAATGGATCTCATGAGTCAATGTTAGTTTTTTATTCGATCCGATTTATGACCATTATGTCTATTAATTGGTATCAGAGCAGGTTATGAGATTTGATTTTTAAAATTTATTTTTATTCATATAATTAAATCTACGAGAAGAAAATTTTTGTTATCGAAATTTTACCTATCGATATTGTTTCGGTATGATCTGGTATGTGATATTCACTGTGTTGCATAATGTCTTTGTGTCTCGAATGCGTTTGTCTTGAATGGTAACCATAAAAGAACAAAGCATGAAACGTAATATACTTGAACACTTCTATATGTTTGAATATTTGTGGCAAACACAAGTGAATTGCTTAATTGAAAGCAATATTATAGTATAGAATTTTCTTGGTGTTGAAGACAACAATTTAATGCCTTGATTGTCGGACTTCGAAAAGTCAAATGGATTAGTTTCTAATTTGTACGCATTATGTACACTGGATCCAATGGTTTTATTTATGGGTGGATTTGCCCTAGTTGATGATACCGTTCACAATCAGTTTGTGATATCTTGGCCAGAAAATTTATTGGAATCCAATTTTGACCAAAATAAATTGTTTTTTAAGTACTAGATTTATATGGGTAAAATTTATTTGTTTATAAGTCATGATTCCGATTATTCTATGTATAATGAAGAGCCAAAGTATCTTATATGTAGAAACTTAATTTTAATAAACTTATATTTATTTTAATTTTATGGTGCCGATCCAAAGCATCCCATAATTTTAAAATATAAGGAAACTTTTTAATAAAGTAATTTACATTGATTGTCATCCATGACATTGAATACTTGCACTATATTAAATAATAGCTTGAATTCATCTTTTCTATGATATTCCATGCCATTAGTTTCATCTTCAGATGGGTAAATTATTATAATATTGTATAAAGTGATTTACCACTAAAATTACTAATATGAGTTAATAATTTAGATAAAGTTTAAGCGTGATTATTAGTATGCATATTGATTGTAAGCATATAATGTTTTATATTGCAGCTTTACTTCCTAGCCTTATGTCTCAATCTGCATCTCATATCCCTTTGTTAAATATTTCAAATTTCTCGAAATGGAAAGATAGAATAATATTTACTTTGGGGTGCACGGAGATTGACATGACGCTTCGTGAGGATAGACCACCTATCCCTACGAAATTCAACAGACTTGAGGAGAAAAAGATGCATGAGAGAAGTAAGAGAGGTGCAACTGCCTTAGCCTCCTATTCATGCAAAGTCATATTTCAAAGAAAATTAGGGGCTTCATTCCTGACTCTAAAACTGCTAAAGAATTCATGACTACAGATGAGGAGTAATTTGTGAGCTTTGAAAATGTACTTGCTAGCACCCTGATTTCAAAGTTTTTTTCTTTGAAATATAAAGGTTACAGTGACATATGCGATCACATTCTGTAATTACGTAACATCTCTGCCCAACTCAAATCACTAGAAATTGATATGTTTGAGACATTTCTTGTCCACTTTGTCCTTAATACTCTACCTTTGGAGTATACCCCATTTAAGATCTCTTACAACAAATACAAGGATAAATGGTCTATGAATTAGCTAATGAATGTGTGTTGATGAAGAATAGAGACTGAAGCAAGAGAGCCAATAAAGTGTCCATTTGACCTCTCATAAAGGAAAACGACAGGTGGAAGTAGGTAGTAGCAACTACCATACTCCAATTAGGAAGAAGAACATAAAAATGTCAACCAAATCAGCAGGCAAAAAGGACTTCAAGTGTTTCTTCTACAAGAAAAAGGGACATGCAAAGAAAGACTGCATGGAGTATAAGAAATGGCTCAAAAAGAAAGGTACATCTCTTTCTTTAGTGTATTATGAATCAAATTTCATAAATGTATCTCATAACACATGGTGGATTGACTTTGGTGCAACTGCACATATATGTAATACCATGTAGGAATTACTGAACAAAAGGGCCCCAACAGAAAGTGAATGAAGCATCATTATGAGAAATAAGATGCAATCACACGTGGAAGCTATTGGAAAGTTCAAACTTGTTTTAAAGAATGACCACATCTTATATTTACATGACACTTTCTATGTTCCTAGTTTTTCTAGAACCTTTTCTCAATACATAGACTTGTTTCTTATGGTTATCATGTTATGTAGGGACCTTCATTTGTTAGTTTGCACTTGAATGATGTTGTGGTTGGTAATAGTATTTTAGAGGATGGTTTATTTAAATTATCCCTAGATACATCATTTGAAACATCTTTATTACCTACGCATGATAAGGAATATTGTGGATAGAAATGTGGCATTTTGAATGAGAATTCTTCCATTTTATAGCACGAGAGATTAGGACACATCTCCAAAGGAGAATCAAGAGATTGGTAAATTATGGAATCTTACCAAACCTTGAATTCACAGATTTTGATATTTGTGTAGACTGTATTAAGGGTAAACAGACAAAAAAGTTAAAGAAATTTGTCATAAGAAACTTGAATGTGTTGGATATCATACATACAGATTTTTGTGGGCCATTCTCGACCCCATGTTTTATAGGCCATAAATATTTCATCACTTTCATAGACGATATCTCAAGATACGGTTATCTTTACCTCTTGTTTTATAAGGAAGCCTTAGATGCTTTCAATATTTTTAAAACAAAGATAGAGCTACAGCTTGATAAAAAGATCAAAATCGGGAGGTAGTATAAGGGTGGTGAGTATTATGGTAGATACATTGAATCTTGGCAACACTTTGGTCAATTTGCTTGATTCCTTTAGGAACAAGGTATAGTCGCACAATATATCATACCTCTTGATCAAAATGGAGTAGCTGAATGGCGAAATCGAACACTAATGGATATTGATGAGCCAGGCCTAATGGCCCAACTTATACTACGAGCCCAGTTTAAATTAAGAGCCCAACTTATACAAATCCAATATCCAACCCAAAAAGGTCCACGCCCGTCAAGGTCACCAAGAGAGTAAGCAGAATCATCTAAGAGCCTCATCCACACTGCCTTAGAAAAATTCAACCCCTACGTCATCATTTGACCGAATCTTATGGAGAGCACCGTAACTGCCTCATCCGTTGAGAAGAAGGTGCCAACTCCACCAAATTAGTCACTTAGTTACTAATAATTGACCCCAATCCGTTATGAGGTGGCTATAAATTGTAAGTCCCGCCAACACTTGGGGGGCAACACACTCAGTCAAGCCTATCTCTCCTATCCCTCTTAGCTTTTAACTCCCTACTCTCGCTACACACTTGAAGTAATAAAATACCCAGTAACCCTAGCCATTGAAAGTGGATAAAGGTCATGTTGACCGAACCACTGTAAATCCTTATCTTGCCTGTGTTTCTATCACTCTCTACTTACTACTACATTTATTATTGATCACTTGACAGGTGGTGTGCAAACCCAATTTGTACATCATCAGTTTAGCGCCGTCTATGAGAATGACAAAATTCTCACATAAACGCTTCCTTTGTTGAACCTATGACGATCACCACTAGATCGATGAACCA